CTATTTCATTACAAATGAGAAACACTGCTCTAAACCACTGTAAACGTGTTCTATTTCATTACAAATGAGAAACACTGCTCTAAACCACTGTAAACGTGTTCTATTTCATTACAAATGAGAAACACTGCTCTAAACCACTGTAAACGTGTTCTATTTCATTACAAATGAGAAACACTGCTCTAAACCACTGTAAACGTGTTCTATTTCATTACAAATGAGAAACACTGCTCTAAACCACTGTAAATGTGTTCTATTTCATTACAAATGAGAAACACTGCTCTAAACCACTGTAAATGTGTTCTATTTCATTACAAATGAGAAACACTGCTCTAAACCACTGTAAATGTGTTCTATTTCATTACAAATGAGAAACACTGCTCTAAACCACTGTAAATGTGTTCTATTTCATTACAAATGAGAAACACTGCTCTAAACCACTGTAAATGTGTTCTATTTCATTACAAATGAGAAACACTGCTCTAAACCACTGTAAATGTGTTCTATTTCATTACAAATGAGAAACACTGCTCTAAACCACTGTAAATGTGTTCTATTTCATTACAAATGAGAAACACTGCTCTAAACCACTGTAAATGTGTTCTATTTCATTACAAATGAGAAACACTGCTCTAAACCACTGTAAATGTGTTCTATTTCATTACAAATGAGAAACACTGCTCTAAACCACTGTAAATGTGTTCTATTTCATTACAAATGAGAAACACTGCTCTAAACCACTGTAAATGTGTTCTATTTCATTACAAATGAGAAACACTGCTCTAAACCACTGTAAATGTGTTCTATTTCATTACAAATGAGAAACACTGCTCTAAACCACTGTAAATGTGTTCTATTTCATTACAAATGAGAAACACTGCTCTAAACCACTGTAAATGTGTTCTATTTCATTACAAATGAGAAACACTGCTCTAAACCACTGTAAATGTGTTCTATTTCATTACAAATGAGAAACACTGCTCTAAACCACTGTAAATGTGTTCTATTTCATTACAAATGAGAAACACTGCTCTAAACCACTGTAAATGTGTTCTATTTCATTACAAATGAGAAACACTGCTCTAAACCACTGTAAATGAAACACTGTTAAACCACTGTAAATCTGTTCTATTTCATTACAAATGAGAAACACTGCTCTAAACCACTGTAAATGTGTTCTATTTCATTACAAATGAGAAACACTGCTCTAAACCACTGTAAACGTGTTCTATTTCATTACAAATGAGAAACACTGCTCTAAACCACTGTAAACGTGTTCTATTTCATTACAAATGAGAAACACTGCTCTAAACCACTGTAAACGTGTTCTATTTCATTACAAATGAGAAACACTGCTCTAAACCACTGTAAATGTGTTCTATTTCATTACAAATGAGAAACACTGCTCTAAACCACTGTAAATGTGTTCTATTTCATTACAAATGAGAAACACTGCTCTAAACCACTGTAAATGTGTTCTATTTCATTACAAATGAGAAACACTGCTCTAAACCACTGTAAATGTGTTCTATTTCATTACAAATGAGAAACACTGCTCTAAACCACTGTAAACGTGTTCTATTTCATTACAAATGAGAAACACTGCTCTAAACTACTGTAAATCTGTTCTATTTCACTACAAATGAGAAACACTGCTCTAAACCACTGTAAACGTGTTCTATTTCATTACAAATGAGAAACACTGCTCTAAACTACTGTAAATCTGTTCTATTTCACTACAAATGAGAAACACTGCTCTAAACCACTGTAAACGTGTTTTATTTCACAGCCAGTAACTTAGCATCCAGTACCCAAGTCAACTGAAACACTTTAAAAGTACAACTCGCCACTTTCAGCGTGAAAGCCTGTCAATCCCATTAACACTCATCTTTCCCTGCAAGTTCTCATCCTACCGTTATAATGCACTGCGTCACAAGCAACCGTATTATCAAACTTCTCTAAGAGGAGGAAATGCTAGAAATTGAATGTTCGCAGACTGAATAAGCCCACGGAGATCCCCATGAACGGCCCTGGAGGAGCAGGAAAAGTAACTGTATTTATTTCATTTAAATAATCATTTCAAGACAACCAGAGCAAGTGACGTAACCTATTGAAATGCTAAATCGCGCCAACCACTAACCGGCTAGCCGTTTCACGTCGGCTAGGTGAAGGGAGCGTTTCGATTATATTTTTGGGAAGTCGCCAATTTATGTGTAAGAAATGAAAATGTGAGTAAATTCAGTGAGGTAAATCGTTTGAATGTGGCATGAACGTACATATTTGTTTAGTTGCATGAACCTACACTATTTGTTTATTTGCATGAATGTACATATTTGTTTAGTTGCATGAACCTACACTATTTGTTTATTTGCATGAATGTACATATTTGTTTAGTTGCATGAACCTACACTATTTGTTTATTTGCATGAACGTACACTATTTGTTTATTTGCATGAACGGACACCATTTGTTTATTTGCATGAACGTACACTATTTGTTTATTTGCATGGACGTACACTATTTGTTTATTTGCATGGACATACACTATTTGTTTATTTGCATGGACGTACACTATTTGTTCTGTTTATTAATTCACTGAGGTAAATTGTTTGAAAATGGCATGAACGTACACTATTTTTTTATTTACATGAACGTACACTATTTGTTTATTTGCATGGACGTACAATATTTGTTTATTTGCATGGACGTACACTATTTGTTGATTTGCATGAACGTACACTATTTGTTCAGTTTTTCAATTCACTGAGGTCTTAAAATATTTTGTGTTATTGCATCGATAGGGTGATCAAGAGAACATGTGTCAAACTCAAGTGAGAGCTAAAAAGGCACATTATTGTCCTAAAATAAAAGCATATGCTCCAATACAGCATTTCAGGGACCATAAACTATATCTCCCACAATGCATGTTGATTTTGTGTGACACGTTTTATGGAGTAATGTATGTTTTTTAAAACCCGATAAATTAAACAGATTTAACAACAGCAATGTGCTCACAAAGTTAAACATTTATTTGTACACTTGAATAAATAATCATCTAAAGCAGAGACAGTTATGTAACAAGATATTAAGGAGTAGTTACATTTATACAGTCTCACGGCAACAACTAGTCCCTATGAGGGCCACTATAATGCTAATGTAGCCCGGGGGGGGGGGAATAAGTTCGACACCCCTGATTTTGTGCCCACCCCCTGACCCAGATGCACAGTCATTGGTCGATGTAAACAAATCTGCCTAGTGACCATGCATTTGGAAAAAAGGTACCATCCCACAGATTCCAGGCGCTGCCATAGCTCCTAGCTAAGCACTTCTGCAGCTCTGTCCCCAAAAGGCATAATCAACACTTTAACAGCACCATGTTAATGTTATTTTGAACTGCCAGTGTGAAGATATTTTTGGGGAAAAGTGAAATCGATGTTTTGACCGCACTGGGCCTTTAAACTCCCACTATGAACTGAGAGACGGTGGTTGTTGACGCGTCTGCTCTCTAGCAATCATCTACTTGGACAAGTGCATCGGCCATCTCTCATGGGCTTAAAGTAGCGATGGAGGCTCCATCAAGGGCTTTCTCACTGAGTACCTTGGTGATTAAGTGGCCCACTTTAGTCCCTTTGGGCCACTCTGACACGTTACCAGGTAATACATCGGGCCCTGAACCGCTTGATTTCAAAACCAAAAGACAGCGTTAAACCGCGCGTGTTCTCGAGTGAACTGGGTGTAACTGAGACGAAGACAAGCTCTCTACTCGGGTGGCTTTCCTTCGAGAAAATACCGGAAAACGCCTGTCTGGGTAACGGATCTGAGCTTTCCATTAGCTCCATGGTCTCTCGCGTTGTGATTGGAAGCTCTGTCTTGTCCCCATTCTCATAAGGGTCATTGTAGATCAAACCGCTCCAGCCATAGTGTGCCATTACACGTACGGTCCTCGATAACAGATCAAACAAAACCTAATACGAAGAGATTGCTTCTAAAAGGACAACCAAACGGACGCTCCTATTCCTCATTAGACTGGTTCAAAGAGGATCTTAGGGGGTTTCCTGTACAGGAGAAACCCTACTTTAGTATTTACAACTCTATGTTGACCAAACACTCTCATCCCTGACGACAGGAAATCCCCAAATGGTTGTCGAAGAGCAGCGACAGTGACCTCAAAGTGACACCCGGGTTGAGAAGGTGACGAGCTGACTGGAACACCTACAGAAACGTTCACTTGCAACAAACCATGAAATGGGGGTGATAGCCCGCCATGCACGGTAATACACAAAGTACAAAGGGGGCCTTGAGCAATCAAAACCAATCTCTGGTATCCTAGTATACTATATGCAAATCGGGTGTAATTAGTACAAATCCGGGTTGTCCGTTGATAATCACATGATGTATTTGCCCCCGAAAAGCTTATGAAAATCCAGCCCATTTTATTGAATCGAAACGATCCAGTGCAATTGCGCTCAGGCTCATTTCGGAGGATGTAATTATGAAACACGATCTACAATAGCATGACAGTGTGGCCAAAGGCTATGTAAAGGGGAGGTAATATATTTTGTGTTCCTCTAAGTGTGAGAATGGTGATGTGGAGAAGTGCGAGTAGTGGGATAATTAGTCAGGCTAGTTTCACTTCGAGAGCTTCCAGTCAGACGTCATCAAATGATTGTGTCTACTCACTACGGTTAGAGGGAGTCACGTCGGTCCAGGACATATTTCGTGCAATCACTTTCAACGTCGTTACGAGTTCAATGCAGCAAACAAACAACTCATGTCTGATCGTGTCTCCGGCAAAATTTTAACCGTTTATGTTGTGCGTCGACTTTGCCATGCTATTCTGTATTCTGTTCCAAAATGTGGTCTACTTCTTCAACGCGCCAAGTCATTCCTGTAAGTGTAGTGGACAAAATGGAAGTCGTCTGTCACGTATATTAATTTAATTTAACCTTTATTTAACCAGGTTGGCGGATTGAGAACAATTTCTCATGTGCAACGGCGACCTGGGGAGCAGCTGGGATTTGAACACAGAACGTCATACACACAAACATGCACTCTACCATTGAGCTACCAACTGCTCAAGTATCACGTATCACACCAACATGTAGCCTATATCTCAGCTGGTGGACAAAATGGAAGTAATATGTCACGTATCACACCAACATGTAGCCTATATCTCAGCTAGTGGACAAAATGGAAGTAATCTGTCACGTATCACACCAACATGTAGCCTATATCTCAGCTGGTGGACAAAATGGAAGTAATCTGTCACGTATCACACCAACATGTAGCCTATATCTCAGCTAGTGGACAAAATGGAAGTAATATGTCACGTATCACACCAACATGTAGCCTATATCTCAGCTAGTGGACAAAATGGAAGTAATATGTCACGTATCACACCAACATGTAGCCTATATCTCAGCTGGTGGACAAAATGGAAGTAATATGTCACGTATCACACCAACATGTAGCCTATATCTCAGCTGGTGGACAAAATGGAAGTAATATGTCACGTATCACACCAACATGTAGCCTATATCTCAGCTAGTGGACAAAATGGAAGTAATCTGTCACGTATCACACCAACATGTAGCCTATATCTCAGCTAGTGGACAAAATGGAAGTAATCTGTCACGTATCACACCAACATGTAGCCTATATCTCAGCTGGTGGACAAAATGGAAGTAATCTGTCACGTATCACACCAACATGTAGCCTATATCTCAGCTAGTGGACAAAATGGAAGTAATCTGTCACGTATCACACCAACATGTAGCCTATATCTCAGCTAGTGGACAAAATGGAAGTAATCTGTCACGTATCACACCAACATGTAGCCTATATCTCAGCTAGTGGATAAAATAAAAGTAATCTGTAGCTGCATCAATACCGTATATATATATATATATATATATATATATATATGCGTTTCACCCGAACACATTCCCAAAGTTACTTCCTTAAACACTGTGGCAACAGCCAAGTCTATCATTCATGTGATATCCAAGTCATTATCTTCATCTAATGTACCTTGACCAGGCCCTCTGACCAATAGGGTGTGATAGATGTGAGCCCTCTGACCAATAGGGTGTGATAGATGTGAGCCCTCTGACCAATAGGGTGTGATAGATGTGAGCCCTCTGACCAATAGGGTGTGATAGATGTGAGCCCTCTGACCAATAGGGTGTGATAGATGTGAGCCCTCTGACCAATGGGGTGTGATAGATGTGAGCCCTCTGACCAATAGGGTGTGATAGATGTGAGCCCTCTGACCAATGGGGTGTGATAGATGTGAGCCCTCTGACCAATAGGGTGTGATAGATGTGAGCGCTCTGACCAATGGGGTGTGATAGATGTGAGCCCTCTGACCAATGGGGTGTGATAGATGTGAGCCCTCTGACCAATAGGGTGTGATAGATGTGAGCCCTCTGACCAATGGGGTGTGATAGATGTGAGCCCTCTGACCAATGGGGTGTGATAGATGTGAGCCCTCTGACCAATAGGGTGTGATAGATGTGAGCCCTCTGACCAATGGGGTGTGATAGATGTGAGCCCTCTGACCAATAGGGTGTGATAGATGTGAGCCCTCTGACCAATAGGGTGTGATAGATGTGAGCCCTCTGACCAATGGGGTGTGATAGATGTGAGCCCTCTGACCAATGGGGTGTGATAGATGTGAGCCCTCTGACCAATAGGGTGTGATAGATGTGAGCCCTCTGACCAATAGGGTGTGATAGATGTGAGCCCTCTGACCAATGGGGTGTGATAGATGTGAGCCCTCTGACCAATAGGGTGTGATAGATGTGAGCCCTCTGACCAATGGGGTGTGATAGATGTGAGCCCTCTGACCAATAGGGTGTGATAGATGTGAGCCCTCTGACCAATAGGGTGTGATAGATGTGAGCCCTCTGACCAATAGGGTGTGATAGATGTGAGCCCTCTGACCAATGGGGTGTGATAGATGTGAGCCCTCTGACCAATGGGGTGTGATAGATGTGAGCCCTCTGACCAATGGGGTGTGATAGATGTGAGCCCTCTGACCAATAGGGTGTGATAGATGTGAGCCCTCTGACCAATGGGGTGTGATAGATGTGAGCCCTCTGACCAATAGGGTGTGATAGATGTGAGCCCTCTGACCAATAGGGTGTGATAGATGTGAGCCCTCTGACCAATGGGGTGTGATAGATGTGAGCCCTCTGACCAATAGGGTGTGATAGATGTGAGCCCTCTGACCAATAGGGTGTGATAGATGTGAGCCCTCTGACCAATGGGGTGTGATAGATGTGAGCCCTCTGACCAATGGGGTGTGATAGATGTGAGCCCTCTGACCAATGGGGTGTGATAGATGTGAGCCCTCTGACCAATGGGGTGTGATAGATGTGAGCCCTCTGACCAATGGGGTGTGATAGATGTGAGCCCTCTGACCAATAGGGTGTGATAGATGTGAGCCCTCTGACCAATAGGGTGTGATAGATGTGAGCCCTCTGACCAATGGGGTGTGATAGATGTGAGCCCTCTGACCAATGGGGTGTGATAGATGTGAGCCCTCTGACCAATAGGGTGTGATAGATGTGAGCCCTCTGACCAATAGGGTGTGATAGATGTGAGCCCTCTGACCAATAGGGTGTGATAGATGTGAGCCCTCTGACCAATGGGGTGTGATAGATGTGAGCCCTCTGACCAATAGGGTGTGATAGATGTGAGCCCTCTGACCAATAGGGTGTGATAGATGTGAGCCCTCTGACCAATGGGGTGTGATAGATGTGAGCCCTCTGACCAATAGGGTGTGATAGATGTGAGCCCTCTGACCAATGGGGTGTGATAGATGTGAGCCCTCTGACCAATGGGGTGTGATAGATGTGAGCCCTCTGACCAATGGGGTGTGATAGATGTGAGCCCTCTGACCAATGGGGTGTGATAGATGTGAGCCCTCTGACCAATGGGGTGTGATAGATGTGAGCCCTCTGACCAATGGGGTGTGATAGATGGGAGCCCTCTGACCAATGGGGTGTGATAGATGTGAGCCCTCTGACCAATGGGGTGTGATAGATGTGAGCCCTCTGACCAATAGGGTGTGATAGATGTGAGCCCTCTGACCAATGGGGTGTGATAGATGTGAGCCCTCTGACCAATGGGGTGTGATAGATGTGAGCCCTCTGACCAATGGGGTGTGATAGATGTGAGCCCTCTGACCAATGGGGTGTGATAGATGTGAGCCCTCTGACCAATGGGGTGTGATAGATGTGAGCCCTCTGACCAATGGGGTGTGATAGATGTGAGCCCTCTGACCAATGGGGTGTGATAGATGTGAGCCCTCTGACCAATAGGGTGTGATAGATGTGAGCCCTCTGACCAATAGGGTGTGATAGATGTGAGCCCTCTGACCAATGGGGTGTGATAGATGTGAGCCCTCTGACCAATGGGGTGTGATAGATGTGAGCCCTCTGACCAATGGGGTGTGACGGCGGAAACACCAGGACCTTCTATTCTGAAACAGTGCTTCAGAGAATCTGTCCCAAACGGCCCACATCTTTTCAACATCCGATGCTTAACGACAACACTGCATATTTATTTACACGTGCTAATTTGTTTCATTATTGTGCATTTTTCCAGACGTTTGATCCGATTGAAATTAGTCTTTGATCAGATGTGTAACGAGGCAACAGTTGACAAACTTCTCTAAATTCCTCTAAATAGAATTCCACCCACGCTGACACATTGTTAAAAACCAAATCAACCCCGGTGTTTACAGCTAATTCAGATGTCTCGGGCAAATAAACAAGGAACCAATTAAACTCGCAGTGTAATGACTTCAAAAGCACATATATACCATTCTCTTTTTATCTAACATAAATACTGTTTGTTTCATATATATTTATATAAAACATGCATTCATACATATCGAAGTCTTACGTATTCATCCATGAATCCCTGTTATTTATACAGAGTATAAATATGAAGTGTCACAGAAATTCCCGTATCCCATATCAATACGAGGAAGGTCAACAAACAAATTAAATGAGTCAAATGGCCGTTGAGCTTCAGTGAATTAAGCAACGGCTATAAAAAAAAATAGTTCCACGCCTGAGAATACCCGTCTCCAGTATTAGGGCAATAATTAAGATGTTAAAATCTAATGGAGCTATTATGAACCGAAGCTAGAAGGGGACCCTGGTGCATTTCCCTCTGACCGTAAGAAAGATTGAGTTTGCTTAAAATCATAGACTCAACATTGACTGGAACTGGTCGCTGTGGTTAGATGAGACCAAAATAGAGGTTGTGGGCCACGAACAACAGAGGTAGGTTTGACGTGAAAAGAGGAATTGCTATGCAGAGAATAACCTTAATCTCAGTTAAATATGGTGGTATGATGTGTGGTGTTCAGTAGGGGTTTGCTTCCAAAGGCCCTGAGAACTTTTGTCAAGAATGGATCGGCGTGGTGCGGTGACAGCCATGTGCAGAGTCGTAGATCCGTTTCAATGGGTTTATTTATGAATAAATGCCACAAAACAAACCAAGAACGGCAAAAGAAAGCTAACTGGCTAACTCAAATGAAATGCGCTTATCGCGACTTACAGAAAGAAAAGGTTAACAACAGTACGCTCTATAAACTATAACACTCACCTCTAAACACTTGTGACATAGACACACATTGCTGAACAAGGAGTGACTCGTCCGCTCACCTTTTATAGCCCACTAATGATAACACAAAACAGCTGTGAATGACAAAAGGCAAACAAGGAAGTGAATCACCGAATTACTGTGTAGCAACGCCCCCACACCACTCGTGACAACTTTGTTGGGAATACATGGCATTACTTCTGTCAAGCACCAGGGGATTTTGGACCAAAAGCTGGTTGCCTCCGGCAGAGGGCTAAAACTATTTGTTTCTGATAAAAGTATTCCTCCGTATTGACACAACATCACTTACAATTTACAAAAGCATCTACAGTTGAAACCAGATATTTACATACCGGTACACTTCAGAAAAAAACACAAACACTTTTATTTCTTTACTGTCATACATTGAATCAGAGTAAACGTTTTCTGTTTTAGATCAATGCATATTAACATA